CCTCACAGAAGCAGGTGAAGGAGTAAATACACACAGAGGCTGTTTGGGCTGGCAGTTTGTCTTCGCCCTCTACGTATGGTATGGGACTAGTGGAGAACAATAAGGTTGTTTGAAAGATCCTTGATACAGCTTGAGTTAGGCGGCTTCTTAAAAGTTCACTTGAAATGGGACTCTGATAAAAAGCCTTTTCTTTCCTGCTGTCAACGTCGGCGGTTTTCATGGTCTTTCGGCCATTTTCTTTGCAATGAATCGGTCAGGATACCCGTTTTGGCGAAAAAGACTTTCCATGATCTTAAACTTCTTCTAAATGCTATCGGCTGGGCGGATTTTTTCTCATCCTTTCTGTCAAACAGCAGACTAAATTACGTTTAACGGTTAGCGGCACGAAGCTCCCAAAACGAGTGTATTGTCCGGACCACGTTTTCTTACGATAGACGCTACGTCGAACAGTGCCGTCAGGCCCTCTGCTCATAAGCACGCCCAGAAAGGGAAGCGAACCGGACTGTTCTTCTTCCAGGGTGAATTTGATTTTATATGTATAGATCTCCCAGAAGATAAACCTGAACAGTTTTCAAAGTCGCCAGGCCACAGTAAATATACCAAATTTTGTGAATGCACATGGGATTTGTAGTGAGAGATCCTGATATCACGTCAAATAACCTAATGAATCATCCTGCTTGTCCGCCAAATTATCAGACAACAGAGTGCAGAGTGGGGACCAAGACTACTAAAACGCAACCAATTACCCGGTATTTCAGTTCTGTTAGGACGAAAAGGTAAGATAAACATCCCTGTCAGACTGCAACTTGGCAAACACAAGTCGGAAAATTGGTAAATCAACAAAAGGACACTGTTGAAAACTAAAACAGAGTCTGAAAACAAAAAACGCTTACTTCGGTCGATATAGAGCCATTTGAAGCAATCTTCAACGCACTCGATCGTTTTTATCTTCCGAGAGGCAACTTCCTTCTTGGGAAATACATCCAGACAAGAAGGGTCGTTCGAGGAATTGCAGGAAAAGCAATTGATTGTCCTGGCTTGTAAAATTTTAAAGAAAAACCAATTTCAAGCAATTCTTCGAGAATAGGGATTGCGAAGTAGCCTGTATGGATCTTTTAGACGCAAAAGGGGGGATTTTCGGCCTTGATGCATATCCTTTGCTTAGGATGGAGAAAATGATTGAAAGTGTTGCAGACTATGGCACGTACAGCACTTGACCCGACCACTGGGTACCTGTCTGGGCAGAGGAAAGGTCATTCATAGCCCTTGCAATTTGTGGACGTCTGTGTTAGGTTCACCGAATCTCGTTTGACGTAACCAACGGAGTTTCATGTTTTCAACAAAACACTGGCGACAATTACGCGCGGGCACCAAAGGGGCGTTCTAGCTTAGGTGGACAAAATCACCACTTATAGGAATGTCCTCAAGGAGCACAAGCTCTTTATTCTTTCAAGTGGCCCCGAAAAAAGGGATTAGCCTTAAATGAAGACAAGTGTGGTTTCTGATAATTAAATCAATGGTCTTGGTTATGGAGTGCCCAAGGGCAACACTACGAATACCTCATTTTTCGGGTAAAATTGATCTGCTCGGTTGCATTTAAACTTTACCTCTACCAATGGCGGTTATGGAGGCATTTGAAGCTCTTAAGGAAGAACTTTCGAAGGCCATAATCACTAACGTCTGATGTGATAGCCCAGTGGTTGTTGAAACCCACGCTTCTGACGTCACAAGTGCTGCCAAACGAGAACAGAATAACAAACCAGTAGCATCCATTTTGCGCAGTCTACCTACAGATTATTGACATTATTTCACTGTGGGAAAGGAAACGTTCACAGCAATAGGGTCCATACGCACATGGAAGCATGCTCTTTTCGGTTAATCGGTTGAAACTCATAACTGATCTGTGTGCTGCTGCTTTATCGACTGTCTTCGCAGTCTTCCATGCCGAAGAGGTTTAAGGAATAAGTTATGCAATCTATTGTAGCCCATGCCGACTTACACAACCTAGATTGTAACAGACATAGCCGACATGACCACCGATCAGCGCACACTTCTTGGGACAGCGTACTGCTTACAAATTGTGTCTGCGGGTAGAGGAAATCATACCTACATATTATTGAGAAATCAAATGAAAAGATTCCTATATAAGCACAGGGCTGAGTTAGGCGGGGATGTGGTTGTAGTTAGTCTAATTATCAATGGTCCGCCAGTGTTTCAGCAGACGAGAATGGAATTGTGGCCTATTCCGGTTATGACTGTCCAGCCCCGATTAAGGGCCGTTTTCTCAGAAGCGATATAAAATGGCAAAAATATGCTGAACACTGTGCAGGCCGACTTTTGATAAAATTAGGTGGCTACAGGAAAATGGGTCTCAATGCAATTGTTTGCAGTCCTCTGCTGCAGTTCATGCAGCATTCGTTATCTGTGAGGCAACAGCCACGGCATTCGTGATGCATGTTAAAGATTTCAGTGCATATTACAAATCCGAACAATGTGACCTTATAAACAAAGCGCTGCGAATCGAGTTTTAATCTCGCGTTCCAGTCTAGGCTGCGTTTTGACCGGTTGGACGTTCATCTTGAACCCACGCCACGTATGCGGCGTTCGACTGCGCACACACTGATAAGCTAACAGATCGGATGACTTTCTTGCTTTTGCGTACACACTGTCAGACGGAATTTCCTGCTCTGCAACGCCGTTGCACGCACGTTATCAAAGCCTCGACATGACCCCTTCTCTTTTCCCCTACTACTAACTGTTCTGTATCCTTTCTGTAGCACGTCAAGGCCGATATAAAACCGAACACATTGGAAACGTATTGACCGATAGGTCAATGAAATGGTAAACCGAAGATATAAAGGAAAGATACCCGTCCGACGCATCGTCATATACATCGGGCGGTTTGTCCTCTAACAATTTGTCGTCGGATACATAGACCTCTTCTGACAATGAGACGAGATAAACAGAGATGTCATCGAACACGGTGCCCGATAAATCTCCCAGGACTCTGACAACTTAACAGAGCCGAACAAAGCAGATGCGCCGCACATGAGGGCAATACGCTCTACTGGTGATCTCGACACAACAACTCAGTCGTTGAAGTATATAAGGAAACTGAAGTTTATCCGGCGACAACTTCAAGGAATGTATATGAAGACTTTCTTGCGTTCGAACAAGACCGCACTTCTAATTTTACGGTGCACCGGTAGTAGGCCTACTACACCCCCTAGTAGCATTGAATAGCCACCCGATGCACTTTTATAGCAGAAATCTCCCGATTGGGCTATCTCGTAACCTGATTGGTCAACGAGTTTATCGATTTCTCACGGACATTGGCTGGCGCGATTGAGCTATCAGTGCTCCAACGCCGCATGCTCGCCGCCATTATTGCTTGCGTATCGCGTGCGGCGTGTGCTATCAACTGCTCTCTGCTTCAACCTGTTATACCCTTATTTTATTCATTAACCCATCTGTTTTTATGTTTGAAATGTTTAGGCACGAATGTAAACGCACTATTAGGCGGCATGTGAAGAAGAGAATCGAGAAAATGTCATGATAAATAGATGCAGAAGTGGATCTGCTCTTTGGCGGTAGCAAACGTTCTTAAGACCGGGAGTCGTCCGCTGGTGACTCAGTGGACTTTGAAAGTGGTAGCCCTAGCCCACCAACGTTATTGTTAGGTGACTTGCTATCTGCAGACGGTATTGCTTGGGCGGACACTGTCATCCATAATGATAACGTGTCACTAAGTGAACGCATAAGGACAACACTGCGTGATTGGGCTTTGCAATGCCATATTTCGCACAGACATTTACGAAGTCTGTTAGATATAGTGCGGATGGCAGTCCCTCAATTGCCGAAGATCCTCGCAAACTTTTGGGGGCATCGTATAACTTGCAAGTAGTCCACATGGGTTGTGGAAAGTACGTTCATGTTGGGCTGTAGAAGCAACTACGCAGGTTAGTTGATAGTGAATCCGTAGTCGCAGACAATGAAGAGATAGTTGTGAATCTAGCTATAGATGGTTTGCATCTGTACCGCAAGACGAAGGCTGAACTGCGGCCCATTCTAGGTCGTATCATGAAGCCATATGTCAGTAACGTATTTGCCATTTCCATGTACTGTGGGAACGGCAAGTGAGGAGAAATGCCGATAATATTTGTAATTTTTATATTTTGTAATTTGTAATTTTAATAATCAATCCTCATTTTTACTTCGTCGAAACGCCTTCATTCAACTTTATCGGGGGTAGGGGGATAACTTGGTTCGTTTATTAATAATTCGGACGGGAAGTGCGTAAACGAGCATTCGTAGGTGCTAAAACGGAAAGGTCGCAAAGGAAAGGCGTCCCGCAGCTGCATAGCGCCGTATCGCGACCTTTCGCCATTGTTTCCATAGCGACCACATGGACAAAATCCGCTATAAATCGCTCATTGTATGGCGACTTTTCCACAGCGAGGCGCCGTCACCTGGCTATGGAATTGCTACTAAATCGTGGTAGATGAGGCCTCATTTACCACGATGTGATCAAGAGGCAGACAATTTCTCGGTAGGCACACACAGTATGCGCAGTCATAACAGGATCCACGCAATGCAACCAGGAAGGGAGCTAAGATGTGCAAACATCGTATTTAATCAATAACAAATATACACTCAGATCACTTAAATTGCGAAACCACATTTTGCCACTTACGCTGGCACGGAATAGGATCCTGTGAGAGAGCCACGTGGAATAGGAGTCCCAGAAATAACACTAATTAAATCTTAAAATAAGATTGTAGTCAAGCTCGCTTACGTCCAATAAACGCGAAGTCAGCTGTCATCAGTCATAAAAGGAGCGCCGCGCGGAACATCCTCCGCTCAAATTTCAGCGCAGTAAAATATTACAAACATTGTTGATTTTATCATTTTTCCATTGCTGTTGTGATAGTGTCACGTATTACTTCACTCAATTCTTTAAATTTGTGTAAAACCATTTGCATATTACTCTGAAAGAGTTTTTTGTGAGGACGTGTTTTCCGCCAGCACAACAGAGGACCTGTGGTACCCAACAGGTTTCGTTATTTATCACGCCTAGTATAACTACAGTGATTGCACACTGTCTATCCTATAAAAGTCTGCCTAAAATTTGTCAATCGGTACATAAAGAAGAAAAATATGGTTTTCAAAACAGAGAAAAACACATATGTTTGCACTAAGAGATGACGTTAGGTGGATAATTAGCAAGCTGAAGTAGGCAAGCGGGGAAGGATTTAATGGTACTAAAAAATTTCGCGACGGCTCGCGAGCTGTGTCCTTTCGCTTTATTGTATTTCTCCCACGAGCTATCTATGTCATGAAGCGACAGGACGCAGCTGACGAGTCGTCGCGAAATTTTTTGGTACCATTAAATCCTACCCTGCTTGCATTCTCCAGCTTCGTTCTAGGGACAAAATGCTTCAGATTTAAAAAAATACCTTCCCATAGAAACTGTTAGATATCTAAAAAGGATTTTGCAATTGCGGTGCCGAATGACGAAAGAAAATACAAGAACTGAATTTCTGTAGAACTGTATAAACAACATGGAATATCCAGTTGAGTTTTTCAGGATGCTGCGTCATGGTTAATTACGTCCCACTCTAAAAAAACCTCGACTGTCTTGCGCATTCTAAATTAAAGGACAGCACTCAGTTGTTTAGCGGCAACAACTCCCGCCTGCATCAGATGAGACATTTCCTTGACAAGATAAGTTTCTATTGTTGGTCTATGTTCATGAAACACGCATGTCGTACAAAAGAAGACTAGGGAACTAATTTGCCTTTTGCTACTGAAGGCAGTTAGCAAGAAACCTACGGAGGATATTTTTCCATTGAACGCAGACGAACTTCTTTATAATCTGTCTGACATTAAAATTACTAAACTAAAAACAGAGGCTCTGTCGTTAGGACTTAATTTCTGTGTCCCGAACAAAAGGATTAATCCCGTTGAAATTGAAGCGCAACTTGAGGACTTGAATTCCCTATTATCCGAGTTAATACCCAGATCTTCTGACAACCTCTACTGGCTGAAAGCAAAATTTGTTGATATTTCGCACCAGTACCACAGAGCTCCAATAACACCGCGTACACCTATAACTAAGGAAAACATGACTGCCCTATCCGCTTTAAAACATCATAAACAAATAATAATTACCAAACCTGTCAAAGGGCATGGGGTTGTCATTCTAAATTGCAGTGACTACGTGACAAAAATGGAGGCTATTTTACGTGTCCAGAGTAAATTCCGTTTAGAACCGTCGAGAAAGGAAGAAACTAAGGCACTGAAGGACTCCATATGGAAAAAAGTTAAAACGTTGCTAGACAACAATCTGTTGGACACCGTGATGTCTTCTTATTTCTGCCTCTGGCACGTACTGTTAAATATCGTCGGTTCTTTTCTGTAACTGCAATTGCTATTTGGAATAAACTACCCATGAGTGTGAAAACTCTGCAAAATTTTCCTTTATTTAAGAGAACTATTACTCGATTTTTGCATTCAGAAAAGCTCCCACAAATTTTGGGTGCTGAATCTACTGATCGACTGTACCGTAGCGATGGCGTTTGTGGTCTCTGAACACTATGGCCGGTCTCACCAGCTGTTCCTCAACGCCTCTACTTTGACTATTCCCAACTTCATGAAAGGAATTTGACGTCCGATAATCTCCGATACCGTGCAACCTCCCCCCTTCTTGACGGTCGATATTCTACCACCGCCGACAGTTTTTTCTCCTGAGCCCTCCAAACCACAAAAACCACCATCAACTTTAATTTTATGCCTTAAGCTCAGGAGTTTTTTTCACTGCTGGTCGGATTTGTGTTTAATCGCTTCCCTTGACAATGCCTGTAAACTGGCATTAAATTAAAATTTATTTATTTATTTATAAAACAGCGTTTTGCCTAAAACCGAAGGGTTAATATACTCCCAAACTTTATGAATTACCAAAAACGCACAAAAGGGATATGCCTCTAAGACCAATTTTGTCTATGTATAATTCACCTTCTCACAAACTAGCACAGTGGCTAGTTATGGAATAAGAGTCAAACTGACGACTGTTTTCTTCTTACATGCTAAATGACAGCTTTCATTTCAACGGAGAAATCAAAAATCAAGACATTTTGGGCAAAAACATGATATCCCTGGATGTAAAATTACTTTTCACTAAGGTACCATTAGATGAAACAATAGATATCATATGCATCCATGCATCTCAAACTCGTCTGCCACCTGAAACCCTAAGAGACGCGATAAATTTGTGCACAAAGAATGTTCAATTTCTTTTTGGCAGCCAATTCTATAGACAAATGGAGGGAGTGGCAACGGGAAGTCCTCTCGGCCCTACCTTTGCTGACATCTTAATGGGTCATTTAGGAGAAAAAAGTATTTGTGAAATTGAATATACTGCCACTCTACAAAAGATACGTGGATGATGTTTTTGCTATTGTTGAAAGCACCAAGGTGGCTGAAGAATTGCTTTCTATTATGAATAAGCTGGGGGTGGTTGAGTGTTGAATTTGCGAGGCGGGGGTATTTGAGGTTTGCGAGCCTCGCGATTGACATTGGCGGCGATGATGCGGATGGTTTCGTAGATTGCCGCGCCGGTCCTCACTGCTCTCCGCCAGGTCGGTCGGCCCCGAGCGAGGTCCGTACAGTTGACTGGGCCGATTTGCAGGCGCCTAGGGGAAGCCTTTAGGGTATGTTTGTAGCGCCGGACTTGACGCCCTTGTCGGCGGGAACCCGTGGCGACTTCTCCACAGAAAAGTCACTTGGGTAACCGTTCATCCTCCATGCGCATCAGATGGCCGCTCTAGCGCAGTTGCAGTTGTCTCAGCATGAAGTAGATGCTGAGGACTCCCGTGCGTTCCAGTATGTCCGTGTTGGGTACCCGGTTTTGCCAACTAGCCTCAACACCTGTCGGAGACAGCTGAGGTGGAAGTGGTTGAATCCCCGCGCCTGCTTCTTCTATACAGTCCAAGTCTCCATTCCATACAGTGACGTCTGCAAAAGAGGGTGCTGCCCAGGTAGGCAAATTTTTTTACGGCTTACAGTTCAGCGCCGTTTACGTTGATTTGAGGTGCGACGTAGGCAGCATCGGTTGGCGATTAATGTTGATGATTACACTGAGGTTTTCGCGGGCGGTGGCGAAGAAGTCCATGCTCCTTTGCATATCTCGCCTTTGAGGTGTTGTTTAGTGTGCCGTCGTTAGCGAAGAGAAGCTCATGGATGGATGTTTCGGATGCATGCGATAGGAAATGCATCCGCTAGTGGTTAAGGATTAGACCGTCCGTTCCGTAGGCGACGCGGATCCGGGGGCGTTCGTCAAGGAAGGCGCCCATCATCATGGCAAAGAAAATGAGACTGAATGGTGTTGGCCTGACGATGCAGCCCTGATTCACTCCGTTGGCCACTTCGAATGCCTCTGAAACAGCCGCGTTGTCCGTGACTCGCGCCATCATACCATCGTGCAGATGACGTACCACTTGTGTGAATTGTTCGGGACAGCCGAATCTTGGCATGATTTTCCACAGTACTTCGGCATTCAGGAAAGCAGAGCAGAGATGGACCCGCCTCACTCGACACTACTCCTGCAGCTTGCGGGCGGTAACGTTCATTTTGGTGGTGCCGCGATAACGGCCAAAGCCGCATTAGCCTTCTGGCAGAAGTCCACATTCCTGATATCTGTTGAGATGATTGAGGATTAATAGAGCGATGATTTTTCCTGCAGTGCTAGACAGTGAGATTCCTTCATGGTCATCGCAGATTTGATGGTTTCCTTTCCGTTCATAGAGATTCACGATTATGGCGTCTTTGAAATCCTGCGGGACTTATCCTTGATGCCACTTTTCCTGAAAGAGCGCCGTCAGATGATTCATAATGTGGTGGCCACCGTGCATGTCAATCTCAGCAGGAATCGAGTCCTATCGGGGTGCTTATCCCTGGAGAGTTGCTACATGACCCTGGTGGTTTAGCGGAGAGCGGGTCGAGGTCGAGGTCAGTGTTGGTCTCCACTTAAGACGGTCGGCCAGCACCGGCGTCGAGGTTAGTAAAAGGACGGTTTAGGAGGCTTCTGAAGTGCTCGGCCAACCCTTTAGATATTTCACCTCCTTCATGAATAGGGTTATCTCATTGGCGCCGAGAAGAGGAGCTGTTCCGTTGGCTATGGAACTGTAGACAGCCTTGATCGTGGCGAAGAGTTAATTCTGTTCGTAGCCGTCCGTATACCCTAAGATCTTTTCGACCTTGCGAGCAGTCCAGGTATCCCGCAGCTCCAGCAGACGCTGCTGCACAAGGCGGTGACTTTGATAGAAGGCGAGTAAATCTGCTCGCAAGACCTGAGTGACCATGGCGAATATCGTACTATGCAGAACATTGCAGGTTTTTCTGCTCTAGATACGTTGTTAAATGCCACTTATTGGGTCTTTTCATGACCTTGCGCAAAATACCGGTTGAGTTGACGGGACAATTATTTCCTGGCATCACTCTGGACCCTCCTTTATAGATCGGGGAGACAAATGTACCTTTTCATTCTTCCGTCAGTCCGCCTTATTCCATAGGCGTGTGGAATATCATCGAGACCGATCCGCACAATACGTTGGCCAATTCTCATAGGGAGATTGGAGGAATTCAGTCTGGGCCAGGGGCGTTGGCAGGTTTTATTCGGACTAATTACAACTTATCGGTGTTGGCGAGAAAAATCATTTTCCAGTGCAAACAAAACAGAAGCCTGTTGTTGTCGTTCTGAGTGTGTCTGCGCATGTTGATCTGGCGAACAATTTGTTCATTTAAGTATTCGATGCTCACCGCCAATTGAAAGCGCGTGTGCCGGTTCAGAAACGGTCGATTTAGCTGCATAGTTTATTCTTTTGACGAGTTAGGAAACCAAGATCACATTCCCCTATATTTCCCATATGAGAGGGGAAAATTCTAAGTCTTTGTAGTAGTTAATCCCAAGGTAGCCACTTCAGTCCACTACCTATTTTGCTCATTCGTCGTTAAAAATTCCCCAAAAGACTATAGTCTTTTGTCATTCTGCTGCGATATGTCGGAGCACAATCTTCGAATGCCGGCAGGGAAAATATTACAAACACTTAGCCAAAAAGATTTTCATCAACGTTTAGAAAATGTCTCATGATAGTTCCCTGGACACCCATAATCTTCTTTGCTATTTTTGCTCAGTGGATCAAAAGCTTGAGAGTGGGCGCCATCCACAAACCAAGATCCTTAACTCGTCTACTGGCTCGAGTTGGCGACCTCTGACGAAATGCTGGCATTCAAAACTCACCATCTTTTTGTAAGTAGGCTGCGGCCGGATGACTTTACATTTGCTTAAATTGAGGCTAGGGAGCAACTTCTCATACTGCTGTTGCAGCAGAACCTAATTATTTTGCAAATCCTACGCTAACACTGGTTTCTCTGTTGAAACGCATATCTTCAGGTCATCGACGAGCTTTACTTTGTCACCGGTCAGACAGTCAGGGCAGTCGTCGACATACATCAAAATAAGAATGGGACTCAGAACGATACCCTACGGAGCCCCACTGTGAATGGCCACCGACTCCGACTTATCCTTCCTGTACAGTGTCCGGTAACTATTTAAGTAAGTTGCCAGTAACACCAAGTCTACGCAATTTAGATATTAGCTGTCTGTTTTGGACCTTGTCAAAGGCTTTGCTATAATCAATATAGACTGCATCTACTGACAACACCAGTTCTATCTATTTCATGCAGCTTTCCATGGATGTGAGGAAATAATTGAGACGGCATCGACCATCTGCAAATCCATTTTGATGTGCACTACGCAAGTTGTCCTGTTCAATATACATCTTCAGCTTCGTTTTTATTATTGTCTCCAATAGTCGGCAACAGATGCTTGTGAGACTCACTGGTCTGAAGATATTAAGTTGCATACATCTCCGATGAACGCCTTTACGCCTTGCCTGTGCTAGCTCATATGGTATGTTACATTAGACGATAGTAATTTTTTATTAAAGACCCGTCGGGGTCACATCAAAGCGAGTAAAAATAAATTTGCATGCGAATTTTAGGTGAGGTAGGAAGAATCTGTGCAAAATATAATTCATAGTTTCTGAATTAGTAGTCCGTTAAGAAAAATGGTGAGAGAGAGGTAAAAAAACTACACTCCTGATGAATATGCGTAGGACGTGCTTATGGGGCTCTTTATGAGTGTGGGTCCTCCGTAGAGAACCGCTGGTGTCAACTGCGAGACACGGTGCAGTCGACGGCGCTCGCCGTCCTCGGTCGCGCTCCCCGCCAACACCAGGACTGGTTCAACGACAACGACGCCGCCATCAGAAATCTGCTAGCTGAGAAGAACCGCCTACACAAAGCCTACGTAGATCACCCCACTGATGTCACCAAAGCTGCCTTCTATCGCAGTCGCCGCCAACTTCAGCAACGACTGTGAGAGATGCAGGACGCCTGGACTGCTCGCAAAGCTGAGGAGATCCAAGGGCACGCGGACCGCAACAAATGGAAGAACTTCTTCTCTGCGATCAAAGCTGTCTACCGTCCGCCGACGAAGGGCACTGCTCTTCTCCTCAGCGCCAACGGCAACACTCTCCTGACTGAGAAGACGAAAATCCTGCAGCGATGGGCCGAGCATTTCCGAGGCGTCCTCAACCGCCCTTCCGCCATCTCCGACGCCGCCATCAAGCGTTTGCCGCAAGTGGAGACCAACATGGACCTCGACCTCCCGCCATCTCTCCAGGAGACCATCAGGGCCGTGCAGTAGCTCTCCAGCGGGAAAGCACCCGGATCGGACGCAATCCCTGCTGAGGTCTACAAGCACGGAGATCCCCAACTGATGGATCATCTGACTGCGCTCTTCCAAGAGATGTGGCGTAAAGGTGAAGTCCCTCAAGATTCCAAAGACGCAACCATCGTGCATCTCTACAAGCGCAAAGGAAATCGCCAAGTCTGCGACAACCACCGCGACATCTCCCTGCTGAACATCGCCGGGAAGATCTTCTCTCGCATCCTGCTCAACCGCCTCAACAACCATCTGGAACAGGGCCTTCTGCCGGAAAGCCAATGCGGCTTCCGTCGTCATCGTGGGACCACGGATATGATCTTCGCAGCCCGCCAACTTCAGGAGAAGTGCCAGGAGATGCGGACTCACCTGTACTCTACCTTCGTGGACCTGACGAAAGCCTTCGACACGGTGAATCGTGAAGGACTGTGGAAGATCATGCAGAAATTCGGCTGTCCGGAACGATTCACTCAGATGGTGTGCCAACTGCACGACGGTATAATGACGCGAGTCACGGACAACGGAGCCGTCTCAGATGCATTCGCAGTGACCAATGGAGTGAAGCAGGGCTGCGTACTGGCGCCTACCCTCTTCAGTCTTATGTTCTCTGCCATGCTGATGGACGCCTACCGCGACGAACGCCCCGGGATCCGCATCGCCTACAGGACGGACGGTCACCTGCTGAATCAACAGCGGATGAACTTCCAATCGCGCGTATCCACAACCACCGTTCACGAACTCCTCTTCGCCGACGACTGCGCCCTAAACACCACCTCGGAAGAGGAGATGCAACGGAGCATGGACCTGTTCTCCGCCGCCTGCGAGAACTTCGGTCTGGTCATTAACACGCAGAAGACGGTGGTAATGCACCAACCGCCACCCAAATCAGCCACAACCGCCAACGCGCCGCCGCAAATCAGCGTGAACGGAACCCAACTGCAGGTGGTGGAAAACTTCCCGTACCTGGGCAGTACTCTCTCCCGCAACACCAAGATCGACGACGAAGTCGCCAACAGGATCTTGAAAGCCAGTCAAGCCTTCGGTCGCCTCCAAAGCACAGTTTGGAATCGCCACGGTCTTCAGCTGAGCACGAAGCTGAAGATGTACAAGGCCGTCATCTTGCCGACACTACTGTATGGAGCGGAAACTTCGACATGGTACGCAAAGCAGGCACGTCGTCTGAACCACTTCCACCTCAGTTGTCTTCGTCGCATCCTGAGGCTTAACTGGCAGGATCGAATACCCGACACTGATGTGCTGGAACGGACGGGAATCCTCAGCATCTACTCCATGTTGAGACAAATGCAGCTGCGCTGGAGCGGCCACCTGGTGCGCATGGACGACGAGCGACTATCCAAACGACTCTTCTAGGGAGACGTCGCGACGGGTTCTCGCCGTCAAGGAGGCCAGATTCGTCGTTACAAGGATACCCTGAAGTCCTCTCTGAAATGCCTGCAAATCAACCCCACCGACTGGGAGGAGCTCGCACTCGATCGACCGACCTGGAGGAGGACAGTGAAGACAGGCGCTGCGATCTACGAAGCCAACCGCATCGCTGCCGCCAAAGCGAAACGTGAAGCCCGCAAATCACAACTTCGCCCAGTAAGCAACGCCGCCGCACAACCGCTTCCAACGTGTCCTCGATGTCAACGGACATTCCGGGCTCGAATCGGACTTGTTGGACATCTTCGGATTAACTGCGCCTCTCGAACTGCATCAACCATCGTCCACCCGCCTGCCTCTTCCTTTTCCTCTCCACCGCCAACTAACCCAGACAATTCTTCTGACTCACCACTTCCATCATCCTCCTCCTTCTCCTCCTCCTCCGCCTCCTCCTCTTCCTCCTCGCCCACTGCTCCAACGGCGGCCGCTCAGGCGACTGTCCCGCGCACAGCAACCGACACTACCACCACGTCCCCCGACTCCAGGAATGAGGATCAGGACTACACCTGCCCTCATTGCGACCGTACCTTCAACTCACACATCGACCTGGTCGGTCACTTGCGAATCCATCGCACAGAGACTGGCGAACCAGTGCCTGGAGCACCCACCTATACCCACCAAGCTCGTCCCAACTGCCCACACTGTCCTCGCACTTTCAGGCATCGCACGGGCCTATTCGGCCACATGCGCATCCACGACGACCTGCGGTAGACAACCGTCGGCCACACCACACATTCACTCACTCCCTACCTCCTCCACCTCCACCACCATCAACCCACCAGAAATCAACACTCATACACCTCATGCACCCAACTGCCACCTCCCACGCAAGTGGGAAGTCCACATCTCGACTCGGTCCCCATGCGGCTTCGGCTGCACGGGTGACTTTAGTCCGAGATTATCCCGAAACGTCAAGCGTCGTGGATAGGAAGGTTGCTGATTGACGCCCGCTCTCGGTTCACACAGTTCGTCACGTTGTGTGTGTGTTGTATGGAGTGGCGAACTGGTGGGCTGGGAACGGACTGAAACAGCACCTTCCATGGCACTCTCACGCAAGTGGGAGACACGCCGTTCTACCCCCGTTGTGTGAAATCCTGGTGTTTGTGTGTATGGGGGCCAGGTCGTGCCGTGGCGCACGCAGTCATGGCCAGTCGACCGTGACAGCCACCGCGCCCACTCCCCACTCCAGTCTGCTGACCGGCTCGGACAGCGGCTGGGGTGTGGGAATGGGAAGGGAGAGTGAGGTCGACGACTCGGCGCATTTTCCTCACTATAATTAATCTGACGCGCTTGAAGCTATCACGGTGCGCTAAAAGCCGTGGCTTCGAAGGTTGCCAACTGACGGGGTACCTTGGACCTCCTCCTTCACTGGAGGCGGTCTGAGAGTCAGGCTGCAATGGCTCCTTTTTAATGGTGGGTAAAAATAAGATTACTCATACGCCGTCGTGAGATGTTGCTTGGGGACTGCAGCTAAACTGCAGTTAACATAAACAACGACCCCTCCTTCTCAGATATTCCTGTCTCTTCGGAACAGTTGACAGCCTTTGATGGATGCCTCATGTTCTTCAGTAGCGTCAGAAAGTCGCCTTTCTGTCAAAGTGATGACATCTGTTCGCTGGCCGTTTTTAAGTCAGTTTAAGTCAGTTTATTAAGGGAATGAGGCTTTCGCCCTTGAGCTCCCTATTCATATCGATAAACAGAAATTAAGCCATCAATTACATCAGCAAAAGCGAAAAGTTAAAAGTTAGCGGTAAGTGTGAGCCAGGCGCAAACTGCTCTACAGCCAAAAGTTGCATAATGTAAAGAATCTGTGTACTCGCTCCAGAATTTACTTGAGAATCTATATTTAATTGTTGTGACGGTACCTCAAGTGGTCTTCCAATAAAATAATTTATTTGTTTATCAAGTGAGAGCTTGTCACTCAAATTCTTGATGTTCTTTATTGTCTTAAACAGGCTCTGTACATTTGGGCACATTACATTAATAACCAGTCTTCCCAGTGGGGACTAACCCTGGTAAAGCAAGACGTCTGCCATACGAATGGCCACTTTATCTGTACGATCTTTCTTTTTGGTTATTTTCCCCTTTTCTTTCCATCGCTTTAGTTCTGATCAGAGCGTAATAATTTTGTGTCGTCTCATAGGTCCTTTATTGGGCTGAAAAAAGTTTTCATATGTGAGTTGCGAAGAGCCATTCTCCCTTCTAGGAGATGTCAGACCTGAAATCGTACGATGCATCTGCGTTTCCTAGATCGAAGGTTATGTTCACGGTTACATATTCTCCATCACTAAGGACAGCATCCGAATATCCTGGAGTGAGAATGGAGGTCATGTCGGCATTTACCCAAACACCCAACCACCAAGATATCTATTTGATAACGTGGTACTCTGGTTTGTTGATGGAGGCTCGACACCATAAATAGCAATATTCTAGTGGACTATGTTATTTGTTTCAGCATTAATGCCGTCTTCTAAAATAATGGTTAATCCGTCCCATGGACTTCGGTGCTTTGTTCTTCAGCGACTTCGGTATTATCGGTATCGGATTTCGTTCGAACATCTTCCGAGAATAAGTTTTGATGCGAGCAGGACTTTCTCTTTGATAAAATTTTTTTATCGTTCTTCGACTTCTTCCTCTGTGGTCCTATGGATTCCGCACAATTTTCGACATCCCCATTTGGTAAAGCATCTAGAAACGATAAAACAATTGGCTATGTACCCAGACCGTTTCCGATGCTATCTAAACGCAGAAACAATGACAAGGCACATGAACTCTTTAGATCTGCCCTTCGAGCGAAAAGTAACACTGTTGTACTGAACCCTGTAGACGCGATATCTGTTGTCGCTAAGCTAGCTGTGCTTGAATAAGTAATATATTCTTCCGGTGTTTCCTTAGAATTTCTGGTACGATCGATGTTGTCTCACCAAGTTAACAGCGAGCTGATATTTTCAAATTTGTCATTTTATTTTTTCAATGTACCCACCTCCTTCCCCATTTTTTGAGATTTGTGAGCAGGACCGAGAGTAAATCCTACAAATGAAGGTATTCCTGAGATCTTCCCTTTTAAGGGATGTCCGGTGCAGGTCTTGTTAATGCTGTTTAATTTCTGGGAGTCCATAAATGCTGCGCAAGATGCTCGGATATATTTTATCTGACAAGACTAACGAATAGATCGGATTTGGAATTTGTTATTCAGACAGTGAACAGTGACCATGCTTGTTCTGAGTAACTTAAAATTATACGATGTGTATGAAGGAATGCAGAAGAGATTCGGCCGTTTTTAAGTCTCGGAGGCACAGAATAACTCTGGACCTTTAGGGATTTTGTCGTTTTC